TTTAACATGAAGTTCCAGCTCTTGGAATGTATTAACGAGTACATAATCAGCTTTCTCAAAGTTTATAAACTGTTGAAGCACCATCTCAAAGTAAGCAGGGTAAGATCCAGAAACAGAGAAGAAAGAAGGCAAATCGTGGAGCTCAAGAAAAGGCAAGTCCTCAATAGGAAGGTTCAAGTTTCCATGGTTTATGTAGGAAAGATAATAAACGTAGTTAACCGCACAAGACTGTGTAAAGAAAGGAGCCGCAGCTAAACCGAACTCTCGAGCAACATCGAGTGCCCAAGGCATGAAAGCATCATAGACAATACAAGTAATAGGGTTATCACTACTCTGGTGTTTTCTAATGATATCTGCAATGGTTTTGGATCCAAATGTTTTGAGGTTTTGGAGGTAGTCGTGGATGGAGCCAGCTGATTCGAAGCCGCCTTGGTCGTAGCCATCAGAGATGGTGGCTATGGAGATTGGACCAGACTGGTCTGGTTTGATGGAGTTGAAGACGAAAGTGGTGAGAGTGAGAGTGGTTTTAAGACCTTTGGAGTGAAGTCGTTTGCAGAATTGGCGGATTGGTGTGATGTGTCCTTGAGTTGGATATGGCACTGCCAATACATGGCCCCTCATTTTCTCCATATCTCTCTCTGATCTCTTAAAAGCCTTTTGCTTTAACCAAAATGGATATGCCTTAAGAGGAAATGCTAGATGTATAGATTTGTCAGGCTCTTGCTTGGATAAGATTAAGAGCTTCGTGATCAGTACAACAGAGTTTTGTTTTCATAAGAAGAGAAATCCAATTTGCTTTCTTTTCTCGTGAAAAGGATATGTGTTAAGAAATTGTACACAAGTTGTAAATCTTTATGTTTGAAGTATAATTTGGTTTCAATTGTTGGTTTGCATTTCCATTTATGTTCTGCCGAAATAATTTTATAATAATCATATAAATAATACACAAATGAATGTGAATGGAAACGTTTGCCTTTTTTTTTTTTTTGTTGTCTATTACATTATCATTTAAAATATTTTGATTTCTTTTCACCTATTACAAAATATTTTATTAAAAATAAAAATATTTCTTCTCTTAAAATGTAAGTTGCATGCAAATTTTGTTTTTCTTAATGAAAAAAATGTAAGAAATTGCATCTTTTGTTTTGTTAAAATATAATGTAAGATGCATGTTTCAAATGAGAAATCTCATAATTATAACTCTGAC